GTCCCCTGCCTTCACCCTGAGTCAGCTGGGATAGACTCCAGCCCCCCCACAACCCTAGTGAGGATTAAGTGGCGTATAGATAATGGATGGATGGATGTTTCTTAGACATTGGGCTCCATGCATTAGGTTCTCAGGTATTGTAGTGTGTTTTGACTGCAGCGGTGTGAGCCTGGTGACCTGTGTGCATTAGTGGAGGTTTCATTTGAACGTATACAAGACAAAAGCAAAAGCAGGTGTTCTAAATGGGGAAACACATCGTCTGCGTCGTTCCCGTAATCTGCACTAATGCCTCTATGCAATTGTTAAATGATAACATCAGGAATGTTTGTTGTGGTGTATTTGCGAGACTGACAGGATCAACTGAAAGCAGCAGCAGAGATACAGAAGATCTTTAGCCCTCACATCATTGCCATTAAAAAAAAAAAAAAAAAAAGCACTTAATGCACTATATGGTTTTGGCAGTGCACCTAGTCCTAAATATTGCAATACAAACATAAAAAAAATGATTTACATCACCAAATAAAACATTAGATTCAAACTATCTATCATACAGAAAATACACATAAACATATCAATGACATGTACTAAACAACATGGCCTTGTTCTTGCAACTCCTTATCTGAGTTATGTTCAGACGTTATCTATTTGACAAATATCTACACTTTCAACAACCTGCTTTGGCTATACAGGATCAAACTGGGCACCAGTGACTGGACCTTCCAGATACAGGGGTCTTCACGTAAGATGTATTCACTGCACTCAGATGATCGTCATGATTTCACTAATTGTGTGACTTCTGGTATCAGCTTGGTTGCAACTGTGTTCAAATATGTGAGTCACTTTATAGGGGGTGAATACTTATGCAATCACTAATTTTGTGTTAGTATTTTAAATTAATTTACATTACTTTGCAGAAATCCTTTTTCAGAGTCTTTTTTTTTTTTTTTAAGATGTTTGTCCTTTTTTCATAGTGATAATGATTGAATGGTAAAAAGTAAAAAAAAAAAGAAAGAAAGAAAGAAAAAAAATTCATAAAGGCACTATATTCACTATGTGGATGGTGATGACAAAAATAGAATATCCCACAAAAATATTTATTAAAGAAAAACCAACTAATTTCTATACAACACAGTCTCTAAAAGGCTGAAATTACATGTGTAAATCAGTTGAGTCAAATGTATAAAATACTAAATTTCAAATTTAAGCAAAACAATCCCTTCCCATTTTAGATGTGACTCTACACCTTTGCCTCTTTTAGAATGTGCAAGACTCTGCCTTCATCTCCACGCACACCTCCCCAGCCATTGTAAAAATGCTTTATGCTACACAAAGGCACATTGTATTATTATTGCATGATTGTATTATTGAAGTAATTGAGCCATGCATGTTCAAAAAAAACAACCTGATTATAAAGAAAGATAAATTATATAGAAACTCCCACCCTGCAAGCCGACTGGATTGATTCACCAAAAATCTGAATCCATGTGTTTGTCATTGAGAGGCAGCAGTTTTCAGGTGGAAATGCATAAGGGGTCTAAAGGGCATGCATCCAGCGCTGAATAACATTTGGAAGCAATATTTTTATCCACACATGTGTTCTGATCATTTTCATGCAGATATTGCATGTGCTTATGTCTGCAAAGTTTAAGCAGTTAAATATGACTTAAGTATACATTGTTTTTGTGCAGTAGCATATCATGATGCAGTACTTCCAGAAACTGTTTTTGTTTGACCTCAAACGCTTTGCGGCTCACCAGCCCTCACAAAGTTATGCTCTTCATCATTAACAATTACAAAGATAATTTTTATCTTTAATCAGGCCCTCAAAAGAATTGTGTATACAACTCTTTCTGTGTGCTAGATGCCAAGCTTAATATGGACATAACAAGAGAGTTGAATCAGACTGACTCCCAAAACAAACCTTGTTAAAACAGCGTGCCTGCCAGAGGACATCATATCATTTACACTGACCCTCGGTACTTTGCAGGACTGCAGCCTCTGATAGGTAGAATACTGTAGACATGGTTTTGAATGCCGGGGTTTAGATAACGGCAGTATT